GCATCACTAGCGGGGCTAATCCTCCGAAGCCTACACGTGATCATCTGTATGCAGCCGTTTTATGGCTCATGCGCATCAACTAAGATGGTGGTAGACTTCCAGGCTGGCCGAAAGAAGGCACTACCTTGCCAATCCCTACCGGGGCCAAACCTACGCTTGCAGGCAACCTAGGCCTTCTCAACGAAAAGATCTAAAGAGAACACCAGCAATAGTAGAACGAGAACATCACCGACTGTTGGATCCATGCGATTCCAGCCTGCAAACCGTTTATACCAAGACCCACATGTATGATTAGATAAGTGATTAGATACCGGATTGCGAGGTCACTTAGCCAGACCTTCAGGTCCAGCTAGACCTCCCAATCCAACCATCAGCAACATCATGACCTTGACCCCATACTCGAGTATTATGATTGATCGTTCAAGCCTGTTCCAACAAACATCCTGGTTGTTCCGTCCCGATCTAGCCCCCCTCTGGCACAAAACTGCCACGGTCGCACAAGGACATTTCGGACAGACAGAACACACTATTACTATATTTTCCGCTATCTTCAGACACAGCGCTTCCACTGCGACAAACAGAGACGCTACGTACGCGACAATGGCCGATTCTACCACCACACTCAACGGTCCTCAAAAACTTTAACCCCTTGATGGAGGACTTCAAGAGCCGTTGCGCCGACTTTATCTGGAGCAAAATCGACCCAGATTCCGAGACTCCAGATCCCCCTCCAGTCCGACCGACACAACCAGCTCTGAAGGACTTCCTTCTGGACTCGACTTAAGCAATGGGCCAGTTTGAAGAAACCATCCCCCCAACATGTGCCAGGTCCTGGACCATAAGCTGCGAGATGGCAAGGAAGTCAAAACCTGCGCCAACGTCATATGTAAGCCATGTTAATAGGTCACTTTGTGAACGTGATTTTAAGCTCATCTTGGATATATATAAATGCACATATCATAAGGCCAGAGCTTTTGAAAATCTTCTGTAGTTCCGCTTTCCTTCTTTTCATCTTGTTTTCGCTGGCGACTTTGTGAATGTGCTTTTTTCGAAGCCTCGCTTTTCTCTTGCATTGACATAAAATGCCACAGTCAGCATCTCAGCCCGCAGTGAGACCAAAGCGGGACATGGCAGCCCGTGAGATACGCCAATCGAGATTCACTGAAGCAATCCCTACCACCAATGGGAATACGAAAACGCCAAGATACAACCTGCGCCCACGCAACACCGGACAGAAGGCCAAGCCGGCAAAGCATAGGAAGGGCTGCATTATGGTCCGCCCTTTTTCTAAGAAAAATTAGACATGAGGCTTTTCGCCGAGGTTCTGGTGCATGGCGGGCCATCTCCAGCCAAGTCAACTTCAGACACGATATAGAAAACACATCTCTCCATTACCAGCCAGTTCGGAGTTAGGCCTCTGAAAAAAGGCACGCGGCCGTCCTAGGCTAGGTCTCAAAAAATATAAATATACATATATAGAGCCACCCAGCTAGCAGGTCTCGTCCCTATTAGTTTAGTTTAGTTTATTAAACGCCGTAAGGGCTCTAGGCTCTAGATCCTAGTGGACATTTAGCGTGCAGGTGACTATCTCAAGGGCTAATATACAAGCTTTACTGTACGGGAAGCAGGGCATGACACCCTATTTCCCACGATAACCTGCAGATTAAACCTCGAGGGCACACATAGTATTCCAGCTCCTCTCGCTTTAACATGGTAGTGCCTTGCGTTTAAAAGGCTATAAGCTAGAAGGTAATTAAAACATAAGGAAAGATAGTAAGCATAGTAAAGATGTGGTAACAGGCGCATTAACGCCTGGTTGTCGATAAACTGATGTTCTGTGACTCTAGGACAGACTTTCGTGTAGAATTTTGTCCACTTGCAGAAGTCTCCGAATTCCTTCGGGTGCGTTATCAGCCATTTCCAATAGGCTCTTCCTTCTAGTTCGGGTTCTCCGTTGTGTTTGCGGTTCCTTCGTGGCCAGCTGGACCGTTTTACGAGGGCTCTATTGCAGAAGGCAAAGTGGGCTCGCGTTTTGATTCTCCCGCAAGAGCAGTTGTAGTGTTCTTCGTGCTTGAACCTCCTATGGTACCAGCTAAAGTCTCCGTGGCCAGTTCTAGATGCGATAAGCCTGTGGAGCGTTAGCCTGTCGAGCTTGAGCTCTTCTAGGCACTGCTTGATTGATTGATTGTATTTATCGTGGGTGCAGTCCCTCAACAGGGCAAACCACGCCTCGCAGAGCCATTGCATCGCAAGGTTGTAGAGGTGTCAGTCTAGATACATTCAGATCCGCACACGAGCCTATCCTCGCTGTAGCGGTACCAATCTGGAGTGTCCAGATGGTTTTAGTCAATACCCAAGCACGATTCCGTCAGAAAAACCTCCTGTCCAGAGACAAAGCGACCCAGTGAACCTCAGTCCTCTGGTGTACATATCGTTCCAGTAGCCGTTCGATATATGTCGCATTGGTGGGTGAAGCAGGTGTTTGTTATCTGCTGGCGAGGAAACCACAAGGGGAAAAACCTCGCAGGAGTGGGTGTTGTGGAGACAAGCTGCTTGGCTATCGGGCTCTGCGATAATGGGGCTTTCTCCACTGTTGTGTGCTGGTTGTCGACTCGCACAAGCCGGGTTAGAAGGGGGCCATAGCAGGATTCGAACCCACTTGTTCTCGTCGCCCACCGCACAAACGAGAACACAACCAGGCGCATTTGACCATTGCGCCATACGGCCCTCGTAATGTAAATGTTAAGATAATGCGCTTTCGAATTATCGACTACAACCGAGTGAATGGTGCTGCGGCGACGAATATCAACATCTTTTTCGATCGGTGTGAAGTCCTTCATGTCAAGAATCCCCTGGCCTCACGCTGGTACAACGCTGACGAGATGGGCATCGCCCAGGGGGTTGGGGGCTCCCATTAGGTGGTCTCCGAAGCCTCTGGGAACGTAGCTATGAAGAAAGGGGGTCGAGAAGGGTGAATGGATAACTGCCCTGGAGTGTATGAACGGATCTGGAGATGCCCTCCCGCCCCTGGTGATCCTCAAGGGGGTAAATGTGCAAGCGCAGTGGTTTAGTAACCAAACGGAGGGCAAATACAACAACTGGCGCTTCACTACGTCGCCCAATGGGTGGACCTCGAACCCTATAGGGTTGGATTGGCTACTGCACATCTTCGTCCCTCACGTTCGCGAGGCTCACGGCAACACATGGGTGGTCCTAGTGTGTGATGGCCACGATTCTCACACGAATGAACAGTTTTTATCGGCCTGCCTGCTCAACAAAGTGTGGTTGATCTTCTACGAGCCACACTACTCTCATGTGGTCCAGGTGTTGGACTCTGCGAGCTGTATTGTGGTCGGAACACCACAACCGTAGTGTAAATATAGCAATTGGTGGTTGTAGATGGCTTTATCTGAATGGGGGTGGTGGTGGTGGGGATTGGGTCGTGGAGGGGTGGGCCGTGGAGGGGTGGGCCGTGGAGGGGTGACTTATGTTACCACAAGGCTTGGCCAAGGGGTTGTCGGTGTTGAAGATAACTTTATACCTAGACTGGCATTGAGTTTAGGTGATGAGGAAGCGACAGATGTGCGGGCATTGCACCTAGACGTTTACTTGTTCTTCATACTGGAGGTCTGGGGCAGCACCATAGTGTGGCAGTTTTACGAACGATAGGATCCATCCATTGATTCGTAAACAGTGTTATAGAAGGAAACATTTAGCTATAAATAGGCAGCATATGATACACCGTCATCAGATTTGAAGTCCTTGGTGGCAAAAAATGTTGTTTCAATGCACGCGACAGCGATGCCGACGAGATTAAGATATATAAGCTGCGTGTTGATCTTGCTCCGACTTGGCGGAAGATGGGTCATTTAACGATATTAGGTCAGTTTTGTGAACATCTATACTAGGTCCCAGGCTTAACAACCACGAATGTTGAGTTATTAACCATGTTTATCAGGCCGCACCAAAATTTGAGAAATGATTGGATATCAACCATCTTCATTTAACCTTCATCTGTCTCATTTTGTTCCATGTCGAATTGGATACTTGAAATGGGTTGCTCTCCTGGATGCTGAAGTGAGAGCGCCATCATGACTTATTGGCAGACCACAGGCCAGAGGGATCGATGACCAATGAATGCTGACATATTGGGTTCCACGGTTTCAGGTTAATGAGACCTTTAATTGGCGTCGGCAACGGCAGGGCCAGGGAGATAGGCACTGTCCGAAGTGTTGTTTAAGCCAAGGCACATGTACGCACCGGGCACAGAAAATCAAGGCCACTCTCGTCGCCCACAAGAGAGCAGCTACAGCCGGACGGCGATCTCGAACTCGACGGTGAGATCAAGCAACTCTATCAGGCCAACGAGATATTCACTTGGCCACCGAAAAAGCACGCGTACCGTCTTAATTCGTGCTTAGATTCTGTCTTTGAGCTCCTCAACCACCTGGCCATCAAGGTTGCGTCACTGCTACAATCGTGGAATGGTATTTGTCGGCGCAGTGGTCATGGAGTGCGACTCTGTCATCAAACGCGGCTCTGGCTCTTGTACAAAAAGCTGGAGCGGGTCCTCAGATTTAGCTATACAAGGTCCAAGAATCAAGAGTTGGGGAGAGCCTCTTTGGTGCCACAGAGGCTTGGATCGGGGCGGAATAACTAGGATCCGTCTATCTGGCGGATCAACACCGGCTTCTGCTGGCCCCAAACGAGATTGGGCTTGGCATCTTCACGCTTTTGGCAAGCGCGTAAATGAGTGGTCGCGGTTGACTTCATCCCATGCACGGGTATCACTACCTCACTGCTTCCTGACCAATCCTTCGTTGCCACTTGGTATCATCCAACATGGGCCATCGGATGAAACACATCTCTCACCAGATGGCCAGCCTGGAGCGCGCCTTGAGGATGACTCATAAGCATCCCAGCAGCCAGCATAGACTGCCAACCTATGATCTAGAGAGGGTGGTCCGTCAGCCACCGCCTCGGCTACAAGCCGCACGAACATGTCGAAGCCATCGCTGTACTGGGCATCGGACAGCGGTTGCGGAAGCGACGACCGCGTTGCCGTGGCCTTCTGCGTGACAGCCGTGAGTGCCGACTCTAGGGAGTCGAGAGTGGCCATTGGTAGTGTCGACTACAAGGTAGTCTATTATGGTACTAGTTGTATCCCCTAGTGACGGTGGGAGGGTTGGCGATAACGGTTTGCGGTTAGAGGCCGTCTGCTACGGACCCGGATTGGCGGGTGAGGACCAGGTGCCACCAGCTGTGTCAGCCTTGCCAGCTGATAGCCGGGCTGGCGATAGCTAGAAAGGCATCCCTGATCTGCTCAAACATCTCTAGGGTTTGGTGATGACAATGACTCACTGAGTCGTCAACCATTCTCGACAAGTCGGGACACGAGTGGACGGAAGTGGACAGGACTTGATTATGAATGGGTGTAACATGGTCCTCGGCCATTGGGGGGCCCATCGGGTGTCCATGATAACAGCAGTCGGTCTTCTTCCAGAGGTCACCGGCCGAACGAAAATCTAGACGGATCCCAGCCCCGATCAATTGCAATAGCTATGAGACATGACAACCAGACTTCGAAAGAGGGCGCTGGAAAAGATACTGAGAGCATAAGCATAGAATCGTCAAGTGAGTGAACATAGGCAGGTCATCATGCCCCCCTCAGGGGTCCTCTCTAGCCGGATACATGCAACTCAAATCTGATAGGAGCCTTAGTGGGGCCGGTTTCACCAATAGAAGATGAAAAGAAGACTGGTTGCAACAAAGATCATGATCCCGCTCGTGATCGTTGAGCCACAAGTACGACAGAGTCGAAGGACATCACGCGTAAGGCAGAGCTGTGGGGATGCTAGGTGCTGCTGGCTAGAACATTTTGTTATTTAAGAGAGGAAATGGTTACGGCCAATCTTAAAATACTTTTCTCATCCCCTTTCTAAACATCACCATATATACACCTTGTACATGACATATTACTACCGTCACAATTATCACGAATACCTCACGAACAATTTCTTTTACGGCTAATGCTCAATTGACTCCGTTTCCTTCCTGGTTCGCTTTACGTGCGCAACCTGTATACCAATAGGGCTGTTTGCCGCTTCCAGTTGTACTTTACATCTAAAATGGCTTCGATATGTAACATCCCCTGTTGGGACACCATCCCCACGTTGAAGGGTACCGAGAGGAAGGCGGAGGCTCATCCCGACGAAGACATTGACGAAGTTTACGCCTCCCATGAATACGCATTCACGTGCTTGGCTAGCCTGGCGAGTAGAGCTGTTCAAGTGATTCGAGGTATAAACTCGGCTGGCTCGAATACCCCAGAAGCAGCACGATCGCAAGCCGATTCTGGTAGGGAAAAAAGCATAGAATCACTTGTGCCAGTAGCGAACATATGCGAATCAGGTATGCTTTTAATATTACAGAAACATCGCCTGTTAGAGATCTCGTGGTCCACGCCCTGCAGCTAGATCAGGCCTCCCGCGTAACTCTCATCTGTATACCTAACAACAACATTTATCACGACAACTCCACGCTGCCAGCATTGCCTCTTTCAGACCCAGTCCAGCTAACCCATGTTGACTACACAGATATCCTTGCAAGCAACAACGCCGCCGCTGCTACTGCCGCTAACATTGCTGCCACGGCTCAAGCCAAAGCTCCCACGGCCGATAGTTTTCCTACAGAGGGTACACTCATGGGCAAAGAAGCCCAGCCAGAAAGCGAGGAAGGTCAAGCGGATGAGCGCCAAGAGCACGAGATTGCTGCTCTCCTTGAACACCGTATGATTGGTGATGGAACTGGAACCGTCGAACTACTAGTTCATTGGGTTGGTGAAGTGGCCAAGGATGCCACGTGGGAATCGGAAGACGAGATCCAGAGGGGCGCGGAAGACGCTCTCTACACCTACTGGAGTACTCAAGGTGGGCGACAGAATGCGCTTTTCATCATACCCAAGAACCCTCCTCCTGAGAGATATCACATGTTCAGGATCCTTGGCCACGAGAGGAAATCGGGAGGAGCTTTCCTGTTCAGGGTACAGTGGATTGGTCATCCTAACACGCGGGGTGAAACGTCAATAGAGGCTGAGACCAAGCTCAGGAATGTAGCGCTGGAGCTGCTGGACCGATACTGGGAGAGTGTCGGCGGCCGTGACAGCCACGTGGTGAAGCGTGGCCGTAACAAAAAGGCCAGAACCAAGTAGCCGCCCCTTCCGTTCCGTATACCAACTGCTTGTATAATGCGCGCTTCACACGCACATCGTCCCAACAGGGAAGCTATCATGATTATAGAATCAGAATACGGGTTTTGCAGACTATAGCCGTCATTAGGAGAGAGCTAACGTTGTGGCATCTGGCTGTCGCGACATACAATCTGAGATGCGCTGTCGTAGTGAAAATACTTTCTAAAGACCCAAAGTGCAGTGGTACTGTGTAAGTAAATCGTATTATCTGGTATTACAATTTTAGAACCGATTTCGCTTGTCACATTTAAGAAGCTGGAGGGGGTAACTTGTACCCACTGTTCCTTATCGTTAGGGTTGCCATGACTTGTGCTTCCAGCTGCTGATTGCTGCCTTCGAGTTGCTGGATCCTGGTCTGGAGTTGTAATCCAGCCTCTGACGGCACGGATTATAGGAGCTCCTGAACGCCGTGCCCCAACACTAGGGCTCGGCCGTAGCTACCCTCAAAACGAGGGCTCCCGCCGCTAATAATATACTTTATAATCTCCCACGGAATTTTCTCTATTTGCTGCGAAGGTTACCCATAGATACTTGGGTGAGGGCACCCTTAAAATGACTCATAGGCGTAAGCCAGAGGGACTTTCTATGAGTTACAGACATCTTTTGGCTCCCACCGTTTCGTACACGGGGTCGGTAGCGGCGCTAATAGCATTGGCAACCAATCATCGTATGAGAAGTCGAGAGGGGGCTAAGCACGATTGGATATGGGTGCTCATAATCCGTAACATGCAGCCAACACACTAACATGGCATGCAGGATGGACTCATCTACAAGCTAGAAGGAAAGCTCTCCTGACTTGGGATTCAAGCCGATGGGTACCATCAGTGTGGGGGTGAAAGAATACACCCTCCCCGATGCATCAGCCCTTTTAGCAACATATCATTTCCATTACAAATCTTCACAAGAATAGAGCCAATGCTGACGACTGTACGTGCCCGTACGCATGGGCTGCCTCCGTGCCAGCATTAGAAGAGGGCCTTAGTCGCTACTTGGTCCACTACTCCAACGATTGATTAACCTAAGGTCGGTTCTATTTCAGCCCGCTCTACGCCCCCTCGCGCCATTTCGTGGCTGCCTCTTCACCCTTCCGATACTTCCTGGATCGATATCTTCCATGCCATACCTCAGCGATTAGCTTATAGACATCAAAATGACGGTTACCAGCAAAGGGAAGCAAGCCACCTAGACTTGTCCGACATCACGTTCACTGCCACACATCCTGAACTTGGAGATGCCCCGTGCCGATGTTAACACTCACCCCCAGCAACTACCATCTCTAAAGCCCGCAACGGAGTTTAGGCAACGATCGGCATCCTCTTCGAATGGCACTATCTCAAGACCGCCGAAAAGAGCTCCGCTGCTGTTACTAGGCCGGTCTCAAGAAGTGCAAGATGCATATTACGAGGCAAACAGACGAATGCAAGAGATGGAGCAAAACTCACTTGGAAAAGCCAGTCTTGGTGGGCGTCCATCAGGGTGGAATACCAGTCGACGCCAGAAACTGGTGCAGCTGTACATGTTCACCACCAAGCGCTTTGACGATATACTAAACGAGCTCAACAACGCTAGCTGGAAGCCAAGGTAGGTCCCCTAATCCCTAAGACTAGCTCGGATGTATACTTACAAGGGAGCAGGAGAGAAGCTACTAACAAAGTTCTAAAACAGCTATTAGGCAAAGAGCGAAAGTGGCTTAGGCCCAAAGAGTCAAACATGTCTAAGCATAATGCTTGAGCCTCTCTCTTAGGCATTTCTCAAAATCATGCCACCCAGGCCACCATATTCTCGACATCTGAGGTATCTAAACCTTCATATCAACGTTGGTCTGAATCATGTTTGCCAGTTGCCGAGAGTATGAACTGTAAGTGATCCTTCCAACATAATACATGCGCCACTGCGTAGGTGCGTGGCAGCAACATAACTAACTAGTCAATTATAGTTACGACGATGTCTGCTGGAATGCATCCTGAATCCATGTCCCCTCCCCATGGGGGATCTTATGATGCTCTAGAAGACTGCATCAAGCGGCTCCGGCTTCCTGAGCAGGAAATCAGAAGGATCATTTTGCGGACTAGGCACTGGAACACCGTGCTGCAATCGATGACGCGCCGGTAAAAGGAAAACCTGCCTGCTCGTTCTCTCCTGTATTGCCATATAACGCCCTTCACTTCGATGCCAGAATGAAAAGACAACCTTTGCGCCGCCCCCCTAGATGTAGCTAGCAAGCCGAAATTCAAAAGCCTCAATGTTCACCCCTGCGTGTATTTGCTCATCTATATCAGGGAACTCTCTATCGCAGTTAGGACAAGATATCTTATTGGTTCTCTGAAGGTAGTTGGTGTAGCTGGCGGCTAGCGTTGGTTCAGCCTTTGACATGTTGGCGCTAATTGCGTAAAAATAGGAGTGAAGAAGGTTCTGGTTTCTGATCTTGAACAAAGCAAGAACTTAGTACCCATCAAGTAAGTGGTGCGTATTGATCACGGGAGTAGTGCAGGTCCGTAAAGAATTAGACGTTCAGCCTGTACGATAATATCCGGCGGCGGTAAGCTGGGGGTTTTAGCAGCAGGGATGGTTCGCTGCTATTAAGCCGCATTGCGGACCAGGCAAATAAGGCAAACGAGGCAAAGCACACCGCTGCTACCCTAAACCCACTCGTTGGTCCAGCTCTCTGCTGTTCGAGTCGTTATCGGAGCCGCGTAATGGAGTGTACTTTGGAAGCCATAACTCTTACTGGAGGTTCCCTTGTCCGAGTTAAGTCCTCACACTCGTCCATCTGGAAGGTCAGGACTTGTTTTTCAGACTTGAGTGCTGATCTCGGGTGAACGACTTGCTCGTATGCCTCTGTGATCATTCGGGTCGTATCTGCTGCGGAGGGCTTCGTGGTTCGAACGAGCGTGACTAGCCAGTCTCGAATGGATTTGTTCGCTCGAAGGGGGATCCTTTTGGTTGCTGAAACGGAGCTCCTGATGTGTCCTCTCAGATCCAGGATCTTGGTCTCTTGCTCCTTGTATTCCTTCTTCTCTCTCTCGTAGAATGTCGTGGAAAGCCTCACCACCCGAGTCGGTGACGGCTATCTGCGGGTTCGACGCATTGGCATTATATGGCGACGCCGGCCCATTAGACCCTAGTGACGACAGCGACAACTCCCGCTAGTGACCATAGCGGCAGGTACCTCTCGGGACCTGGTGGCTGCTGTGGAGCATCCACGACTCTGAAGGCATCAAATCCGGCACCAGGCTCAGACTCCGGCTCTGATTTGTCCCACGGTCGGTGGGTTGTGTGTCTGCGAGTGCGTCGAAGCCCTGTAGTGTTGCGAGGCAGCGATGGCGGCGGCGGCGGCGGTGGGTATGTTGTCGAGGGTCGAGAGCCGAGTGGTGCTGGGGTCGAGGTTGAAGTTGTGCTGTTGATGTTGCTTCTGCTGCTGTTGTTGTGTGTAGTACTGGTGAGGGCGAGGTTTGTTATTTCTCGAGGGATAGTTGTTGCGTGCGGGCATCATGTCGATGTCGATGTCGCTGGTATGCCAACTTGGGAGATTTCAGCGGTTCTGGTGTAGTGTAGTGTGGTGTGATGTGTGTGGTGTGTTGGTAAGACAGTATCAAAGAAATTGTGCGGGATGGACCGCGTCCGGGGTGGCAAGGGACTTATATAGGTATGTATGTCACCTCGAGGGGTAGGCAGTACTTGTTTGTTTGTTTGTTTGTATTCAACGTGGGGGATCGCTCCTCAGTAGTGCAAACCACGCCTCCCAGAGCCTCTGCATCGCAGGGTTGTGGAGGTATCAAGATAATATGTACAGTCAGATCCGCTCACGAGCCCATCCCCGTTGTTGCGGTGGCATGACTTTAGGGTCATCCATCTGGTCCTTTAAAAACAACTATCTATCGGGGGCAGATTGATGAGAAGAACTTGCTCTTCTCTACAAATCTTGCCCATTCCGCGCTCCTCTCCCCCAAGTATTGTAAACAGGCTGCCCTAGGCGAGTACCTGGGCAGCAGTCGGTTATTCCTAAGCCTTTCGCAAAAGAAAATATGCTGCGGTGTTTTCCTTTCACCGCAGCTGCAGTGGTCATTCGAGTCTGTATGCCCGAAAGGCGGCCATCTGTGCCGGTGTTAATACAGCCGTCCATTGACTAGAACATTGCGGTCGAAGCCTATTTCAACGTGTTGCTTTCGTGGACGGGGCTTGCCTACCAACGACAGTTACATAGGTCATGGTCGACCCTCGGTACTTCTTGGGAGGAACTCGTCACGTCTGAGAAAAGATCCGGATTGTCAATATTAGAAGCGCTAGTAGCTATTGTCCGTAGAGGCTATGACAGAGCCTGTGGAGACTGGACCAGTCTCTAAGAAGAAGGGGAATGCACCAACCCCTTCTAGTCGCGTGTTACAGAGAATCTACTTTGATACTGTTGGAAAAGGCTTGTGATCGATCGATCATGGTACTCATAGCGTCGATGATCTTTTTGCTCAGGGGAGAGCCGGGTGCGAGGCATTTGAGATCATCCTCATCGAGGTTAAGTGGACAGCATTGGAGGTGTCACTGATGTCGGGCAAGTTGTTGGCTTCGTTTGGGATCGTGATCAGGTCCCTTTGATAGAGTCGAGCTTTTAGTTGCGCATCGTGAGCGCGCTCAGCAGTTAGGTTTCCCTCCAATTCTTCGTTCTGTTCTCTCAATTGTTCCATTTCGCAGATGATGAAGTTGAAAGGGGCATCGGGATCCATGGTGTTTCAACTCCCTGTCACAGGGCTCCCCAAACTTGCTGGGTGTCCTTTCGCACAAGACGGTGATGACCGCCCGGTGCAATCACTCGGCCGGTGACTCTTATCTGATATTGCTCCCTGCGAGTCCGGCCTCGACCGAATGCAACATCCTGCAAGACTACGATTTCTTCGTCATTCCGGATGTAGGACCGCATGACCGGCAACTCACATGGGCTGGAGTCTTGTCGGACATGCTTCTGACTTCGGTGTCGCTATTTGAATAAGGCGACGGCTTGGATGGCAGTAAAAGCCGTGAACGATACTGCCGGACCTGATGGTCTTATACCAACACTCTTGGTCTTTGGAGCCTATCCACGCGTTACGATGGATTCGCCCCCGACACTATCACAGCTTCAACGTGCCCAGGCCCAGGCCAAAGCAATGACCGAACTACGTAAGCTCCGAGCCAAGCGCAACGTTCAAAATGCTCTGAATACAAGGAACGGCCCTGATACAACCCCAACACTGCCTCTCTCTCTTCCCATCGGCAGTGAAGTCCTTGTCTATCGCGAAAAAGACAAATATCAAGGCCCGTACAAGGTTCTATCGGTAACAGACCGAGAAGTGACCGTTGAGATGGTCAATGGACCAATCCTATTCAACCGCACGCACGTCAAGCCGTACAACCGTCACCCTGACGCGATTCTCGATACTGACAAGCTTGACGACCACGATACCCCTGTTCCGTTCGAATATCCAGAACCGACACTCCCCCGTCGTCGCGGTCGCCCTCCAAAACTCCCTACACCCGTCCAAGCCCCGAAGCGACCCCGCGGCCGACCGAGGAAAGTACATATGGTGCACCTAATGCAAGAGAGTCACACGAAGCGTGCTAGCTTCTGAAGTCTATGGCATGGTTGCTGGCTATGATTACGGATACGTGATCCACCGTACACTGGCAACTATCTGCCAACGCCTCGAAGTACCTACGATCCCCCTGATCCTCTGCACGGACTCATACCATCCCCCCCATAGAAGTCGTACACCCCCACTAGTCGTACAGCCAAACCCCACCATCACCACCTAAACACCCACATGTTTACTTATACGTTTTCAGCCCGGTGTTGAAGCTATTCAGAATATAATTAGTGCTCTAGATAGCCCTGATCTTGGGGTTTCTTCCAATGCAAGATTTACCCCGCGGGACTTACGTAATTAGCTGTCAATTACCCCGCGTTTCTTACCCCGAATAGAGATTTTCGGGTGCTTGAGCCTCGTCTGAAGCCTTGTTCTACATGCACCGCAGCATCGTATAGCCGCCCAAAATGCCTCCCAAACCGTATACGGAGGATCAGATGGCGGATGCCATCTTAGATATCACGGATGAGGGCCTCTCTCTGCGAAAAAGCGCTCAAAAATACGGCATTCCGGCCATGACGCTGTCTAATCGACTCAACGGCAGGCCTACGAGATCCGAAGCCCATATACAGCAACAAAGACTCTCCCCTGCGCAAGAAACGACTATAATCAAGTGGATTTTACTGCAAGAAAAGCTGGGCCTAGCCCCTTCGCACTCCCTGGTCCGTGAGATCATCAAGAAGGTGTTGAAAGAAAAGGGGGATGAGGCCCCCCTAGGAGACACCTTCATGGCAGCCTTCAAGCGCCGCAACCCCCAGATCAAGACCAAGATTGGCAAAAGGATGGAAGCAGCACGCTTCAAGGGCTTTACGCCCAAGTCAGTTAACTGGTTCTTCGAAATTCTCGAAGACTACGGCTGGGTGAAGCCAAAGAACACCTATAATGTCGATAAGGGCGGCATCATGTCGGGTTTTGGTAGCTCTACTTACCCCTTTAATTCCAGAAAAAATCTAATTAGATTCACAGGCATCGACTCTCTCGTGTTAGGTAGTTCTGCTACTAAGAAGGCCTTCTTAAAGAGCCCTCAGGGCCGTAGCTGGACCTCCTTTATTGAGACCATCTCCGCAACTGGAAAAATCCTCAAACCAGGCATTATCTTCAAGGGGAAGCACCTCCAAGCCCAGTGGTTTATTGAGGAGTTCCGAAAGACCGCCGATTGGCATTATATATGTTCAGAAAACGGCTGGACTTCGAATAACATCGCCTGCAAGTGGCTAGAAGATGTTTTCCTCCCACAGGCGGACGAGATACGAGGAGGAGACCACTCCGAGGCGATCCTTTTGATACTGGATGGCCATAAGAGCCACACCTCCGTACGTCTATGATTTTTCCTTATTTTATTTAGACTTCCTTTAAAATTTCCCGATTTAATATGGTCTAACGCGTGTTAATAGGACGAATTCATGACCATGTGTTATTTTAGCAACATATTGCTCTGTTTCTTCCCTGCGCATACTAGTCACGGCATGCAACCCCTGGATAACGGGCCTTATAACGCCCTGAAGGCCTACTACCAGAAATTCCTCTCTGAGCTGAATTCCTTGACGGATGCCTCGCCTGTTAACAAGATCAACTTCATCCGGTGCTATAGCAAGGCCAGAACTGCTGCCTTTACAAAGCAAAACATCCTCTCCGGCTTTAAGGTCACTAGATGTTATCCTATCAGCCGCAGGAAGTGCTTAAAGCACCCAGAGATACAAGAAGAGAAGAGAAAAACCCCCGAGCCTGATACCCCTGACAGCTCTGAACCAGAGGACCAACGGACCCCTATTACGAGCCGCCAGATCATGAATTTCGGCAAAACTAAGTCCCCAGGGACCAGGCTGAAGTACAGGAAGATAGCCAACGCGTTCGAAGCCAAGGAGACCGAAGTTGTTATAAAAGATCGGAAGATCAAGGCTCTGGAGGCTGAGTTGGAGCGGCTGCGGCCAAAGAAGCGGCAGAAGATCCCTAATCCTAATGGGAAGTTCAAAACGGTGACGGAGATACTATCTCATGGAGGTACCATTGGCCCTGCTGCACGCGTAGAAGCACAGGAAGAGATAGTTGTTGAGTCGGAGGACGAAGAGGAAGATGAGGATGACCCCCTTGATGAGGACGTTTTGGAGGCTATACAGGAGCCTCGCCTATCGCGATCTGGGCGAGCCATTCGGGCGCCGGCTAAATATCACGCATGAGCAGCTTCAGCGCTTTCGAATGACAATTTCGCTGTATTTCCCTGACCTAAATGGCTTCATTGGTGTATAAGTGAATAAGGGAGCGTTTTGGTGGTGATGGTGGGGTTTGGCTGTACGACTAGTGGGGGTGTACGACTTCTATGGGGGGGATGGTACTCGCTATACCAGTGCCTTGTCAAGCTCGGCACTACCAATGAGAAGCGCCTGATGATCGACGTTATGGCGCTCCGGCAGTCATACGAGAATCATGAGATCACAGAAATCCGATGGATCCATGGTGAAGACAACCCTGCTGACTCGATGACCAAATCGTCTCCAAACAAGGCCCTTCATGGTCTTATTTCTGATAATTAGACAACGGTTCGAGTTGAAGGCTGGGTTCAACGTTGAGATCACTTGGATGGATGGTTTGATGGAATCGCAATCATGAAAGAAAGAGTATCCTGTGTTGGATCCATGCGATTCCAGCCTGCAAACCATATATACCAAGACCCATATGTATGATTAGATAAGTGATTAGATACCGGATTGCGAGATCACTTAGCCAGACCTGCAGGTCTGGCTAGACCTCCCAATCCAACCATCAGCAACATCATGACCTTGACCCCATACTCGAGTATTATGATTGATCGTTCAAGCCTGTTCCAACAGAACAGGCACTATCGCCCGGTGGACGGCGTTGTCCTCTTCCAAAATGG